ACGGTCCTACAGAGCCGCAGCGTTGTCCGCCAGGGCTCTGAACGTTTCCTCACTGCTAACCGCATACCAAGCGGAGCTCTGTGAGGATATGTTGAGTAATCCTGGACCGGCCGTTCTGGATGAGTTGGCCGCGGTCACAGACATTTGTCTCCGTGTCCAACGCTGCGCCGTCCAGGCCACGGGCAAAACAATGGGGATCATGGTGGTGCAGGAAAGAGCTAGATGGCTCAACCTCACCAACCTCCCAGACCGGGAAAAGGAGGATGTGCTTGACATGCCCATCGTTCCCGAGGGGATTTTCGGCTCCGCTCTTGCCTCCATGCAGAGGAGATGCGAGTCGAAAAAGAAGGAGGACGAGGCCCTCCACCTCTGCCTCCCTCGAAGGGCCCAGCCGCTGCCTTCGCAGCGGCAGCCCTTCGTCCAAGCTGCTCCGAACCCTGCTCGGTTCAAAATACCGAAAACGCAGAGGTCGCAGTCCGCCCCGAGTCCCCAGCCCAGGCAGGGGACGAGGGCGAGCTGGCCTAGAAAATATCAGGTTCCGGCTGCAGCCCAGGCGCAGCCAACCCAGAATTTCGGCCAGCAGTCGAGGAAGAAGAAGCGAGCGGCGTGACAGCCCCTCCTTCTCCCCTCTGTGACAGAGCTGGAAGTCTACGGTTCCCCAGCTCTAAATGTGTTCCCGCCGCCTCGAGAGATGCCTCAACACCATCCTCAAGTCTGCGTAAACACATCTCACACACTTATTGATTTTTCTGTCATAAAACATTTTCCGCTGACGCATCCAGGCTTCGAGCCAAGGGCGCAGCTCGGAAAAAAAAACAAAAAAAAAACAATAAACAGTCCGTCAACTGTTCCCCTTCTGAGAGCAGCTACGGCCTCTCTCAAAGGGCGGACAATTGACGGGTCTGTGAAGGCACCACCGTCACGCGCATGCGCAGTGCCGGCTGGGGCTGTAAAGGCACCACCGTCACGCGCATGCGCAGTGCCGGCTGGAGCTGTAAAGGCACCACCGTCACGCGCATGCGCAGTGCCGGCTGGAGCTGTGAAGGCACCACCGTCACGCGCATGCGCAGTGCCGGCTGGGGTTGTGAAGGCACCACCGTCACGCGCATGCGCAGTGCCGGCTGGAGCCGTAAGGGCACCACCGCCACACGCATGCGCTGTGTCGGTGGGGATTGTCGAAATGGGGCACCACAGTGCTCAGACACTGGAGGGCCCCATAACACAACAAATAGAGACTCAGAGGGGAAGAGACGTGACATCTCAGCTGGCTCTAAGGAGCATACAGCGGGAGATGCTCACGACATCTGCTTGGGTTTCTCAAGACAGTTACACGGAGCTACAGACTCCAATTCACTGTCACCCCCCCTCGCTTCTCGGGCATTCTGCATTCGCAGGCCCGAGGAGAGTCAGCCCATATTCTGGAGAGAGAGATTCTCTCTCTCCTAGAAAAGAGGGCTATATCTATTGTACCCGCCGAGCAGAGTCAGGGCGGCTTCTATTCCAAGTACTTCCTCGTTCCCAAACGGGGAGGGAACGGAATTCGGCCAATACTTGATTTGAGGGCTCTGAACAAATATCTAAAAAAGATATAAGTTCAGAATGCTCACTCACACATCTCTGCTGCGGCTCGTGCGACAAGACGACTGGTTTACATCAGTCGACCTGAAAGATGCGTACATCCCAGTATATTACCCACACAGGAAATATCTGAGATTCGCATTTCAGGGGATCTGTTATGAATACAGAGTACTCCCCTTCGGTCTGTCTCACAGTCCAAGGGTGTTTGTACGATGTACGGAAGCCGCGATAGCCCCGTTAACACAACAGGGTATTCGCCTGGCGACCTACCTGGACGACTGCAGCCTCTCTGTCTTCTTCCTGTTCTTTACTCTCTCTGTCCTCTACTCTTTCTCTTTGTTCAATCTCTCCCTCGTTGTTCACTTTTTGCTCCTCCTCACTCGTCGCTCCTGCCAGTGAATTAAAAGCAATTCAGCAATTTAGTTCATTTCACTAATTGTTTGCATTCTTTTTTTAATTTAAATCTCTTTTGTTTGATTCTCAAAAGAGAACAAAGATGTAAGCAAATTGTGTTTTATACAATTGTATGTTATTATGACATCATAACTGCAATAGATGTATGCTGTTTAAAAATTATGCCTATTGTAAATGAAGACATTACATTGCATTTAGCTGACGCTTTTATCCAAAGACTATTGTTATAGATGTATAGATAGATAGATATATAGATAGATAGATGGGGTTATTAAGACTACATTCTTCCGTCCGACTGTACCTGCAGTTCCTCCCTGACTTCCATCACTTTCTCTCTCTCTCTTTCTCTCTGCCTGTCCTCTCTCTTCCTAACCAAAGCTGAGCTTCGACTGACGTAGTCTTTTCATTATATCTGAGTCAGTGTAAAAAGAAAACAATACAATGTTATATCTTCAATGTTTTACTCAAATTGAAATTAAAGAAAAGCATTACAACGTTTGTTAAAAGGTAATCCTTCTGACATTGGATGAATGTAATTAACTTTAGCTCTCTAGCTAGTTTATTCACGCAATGTAAACCAAAGTATAGCCTATAGCTGCAATATAAGTTAGTGTGCATGTTGTCGGACGTCCACTGACTAACGTACAGCGTTCACACAGGATCTGCTGCTCATATGATGTCCTGATGAACAGATACCTCATCACTCCTCCTCTGGACTCAGATCTCTAGATACCTCATCACTCCTCCTCTGGACTCAGATCTCTAGATACCTCATCACTCCTCCTCTGGACTCAGATCTCTAGATACCTCATCACTCCTCCTCTGGACTCAGATCTCTAGATACCTCATCACTCCTCCTCTGGACTCAGATCTCTAGATACCTCATCACTCCTCCTCTGGACTCAGATCTCTAGATACCTCATCACTCCTCCTCTGGACTCCAGTGGCGTTTTCTCCCGGAGGCCAAGGGAAGCCAGGCTTCCCCTGTTTTTTCGGATTGTAGTTATAATTTAAATAAATAAATACAAACACTTTGTTTTGTTTCGATAATTCTCCTTTGCTGTGTGTTGCTGCCGGCCCGTCTCTCCCCCATTCTCATTGAGTATTTTACAAAGAGTGAAACAAACAGCGCCCCTCTAGATGTTATGGTGAAACAGTAGATTGCACTCACTGTTGCGAGAGGAGGCCAGCCGAATCTAGCTTCCCTTGGTGAAAAAAAATGGAGGGATTGACCAATCAGATGAGGCCCACGTGATGCCCCTGCCAACCTGTGATTGGTCAGGGCCATGCCAAGGGAAGCTAGCCGCCTCTTGCTTCCCTTCAGAGGCGGCTGGCGGCTGGCGATTTGATTGGACACTGCCATCCAATCAAATCACATCAACATCAGTTTTAATACTGTAACTGTCATCACCGCCGTTAGAAATTATCAAGCAAATGAAGCATTATGGAGGGTGGAGATTTGGCGTACTTAATCAAACATAACTTTACTAAACTTCCGCTACAGCAGCAACTACAAATTAAATCAGATGACAGGCAAATGCCCGCACTCGAGCTGTGTGTACGCAGAGGAAAAAGGGAGAGAATCGGACGTTCAATGAGGACAATTATGTCCGCACGGAGTGGCTAACTGGAAGCGCTAAACTTCAGCGTCTATTTTGCTGGCCATGTCTTCTTTTTGACAAGGATTCGTGCTCCCTGAACAATCCTTGGGCAACTTCAGGATTCATCGACTTTGCCAACCTGTCACGGGCAATTGAGAGGCACGGTAAATCCAAAAATCACATAGATTGTGTGATTGTCTGCATACATTAATAAGTAAAATGCTTAAATTAATAAGGAGAGAGTTTCAGCTGGAGAGTGCGTGCGGACCTGTCGGTTAGATAACAGGCGTGTGCAAGTCCTGCATCTGTGTGATACAAATGTGTGTAAAATGATACCGGGCGCTGTAATCACTCATCTGGTTACGTTATTGACCACCCCCCGACCCAAAAAATGGGCTTCCCCTACATTTTTCCCCACGCCACGCTACTGCTGGACTCAGATCTCTAGATACCTCATCACTCCTCCTCTGGACTCAGATCTCTAGAAACCTCATCACTCCTCCGCTGCTCCGATACAAGTCCGGTCTGCGGTGGTTTGTTGATACATGTCATCTTCTTCTGTTTGCTTTAACAGAGGCTACGTAGTTATGCAGCGCCCCCATCGTCAGTAAATGGAAGTACTACAAAGAACCCCGTTTAGTGCAATTATTTCACAAGTTTTGTTATACACAGCTCGGAAAAAATGACCGAGGTCCGGACCTCGGTGACCTCAATGGTAGATACGGCCATGATTATAACAACATTAGCCAAGTAACAGTTTGCGCTTTAACTTACAACAACCCCTGATAGATCTCGCGAGACTGTGTATAAATATATATAGATGCATTTTCATAACAAAACAATGGGGTTGCTAAGCCGTTGCTAGGCCAATTGTTAGCTACCCCCTGGCACCTCCCCTGAGCATCAACACAATGAACACAATAACCAAAAGAGTATGAGGTGCTTCAGCTGAGGATCTGCTAATCCAGTGCTTTAAAAGGAGTACACATGTAAGGTACTTCTACATTACTTAAGTACATCACCTGTATACCTCTACTAGGGAGATGCAGCCTCTCAGAGATAGAAACAGGGCTGTTTTAATGAGAGACATGTGAAAAGTTGACTCTTAGGCAATATGTGGTTTTCACAGGACACGGTTAAAAACACATATGATCTTATAGAATATGATGCATTGCTGCAGATTAAACTAACCAGCAGTTTATTAAGGAGGTAAAACATCAGTAAACTGCAATAAATGCAGCAGTACACCTGCACACTTTAACTTTAGTGAGGTTTTGAATGCAGGATGTTTACTTGTACTGGGTTGTTTTCACACTGAGGTTTTAGTTCATAACTCTGTTCTGCTTGTGTTTAGCTGCATGTCTATTTCTATTTTACTGAAAATAATCCCTGTGTGTTCCTGTTCAGCAGGTTATTAAACAAAGGGAGGAGCTGCAGACAGGTGAGGACATTGAAGTGAAAATATGTAGTCAGACGGCCTGACTCCATTTTACACTTCAACGGAGCAGGAGGAAGAAAACAGGGTGAGTGTTAACACCAGACTCTGTTGCGTTTTTAAGACATTCATGATTTACTCTGTTGAACTGTATGTTTAAAATAATGGGTTATCGAAAAAATATATTTCCTAGAGTCCAAGGTGACATTTTCAAATGCTGTAAACTTTTTAATTTACTGTTTTCTGATTCATCAGAGTTACATAACCGGTAACTTCCCCGTAAAGTCAAGATGGAGAGCGGCCTGTCTGAAGTCTGACTGATTTGTTGTAATTAAACCAATGTTTATTATGATGGTTTGGATTTAAATAATTGTGTGTGTGAGTTCTTAAAACATGCTCAATGTTGCTTAAGTGTTACTTATTTAAACGCACATTGAAAAAAAACTAATTTAGGGCAAGTAAATTACATAACAAAATTGAGTTTTGTTGACTTCACCATCAGAACTGTTTTTACAGTGTGCGCTGATGAGGAGGCGGGGCTTATCTTCATTTTGATACTATGCTAGATACCAACTTTAACATATTTTACTGTAATTCAATAGTGATACACGTTTAAAACTGATGTAGAAATAACTACATCATGATACCGGTCAGTAAATATCATGAATTGTAAAGTGTGCTTACAAGACGGCAGGCGAAATGCATACTGTGACAGTATATAAAGGCACTATCTGGCTTTATTTCTAGGCTACTTTAGAAAAGGCACTTCATCTCTACTGATGGTATGAATTATGTGATTGAATTACAAAATAAATGTAATGTTATAAAAAAATATGTAAATTACATTTGCTAATCAAAATGTTGTTTACAAAGGGGTGACATACACATATATGATTTTATTTGAAAGGCCTATAAATGATAAGACATTCATTCTGTTGCTGTTTTTAATTCTGTTCAAGTTATATTGAAACACTTAAGAAAAGTTTGACATTAATCTTCAAGTTAAAGTGAATATTTTAAAGGAGAGGTGTCATGGCCATTTCCACTGATCATAATTCCATTGTTGAGGTCTACTAAAATAGAAAAATACTATGCAATTTTCCAAACTCACATTGGTTTCGCATACAGCATCTCTGTAAAGTATGTGTATTCAGCAGTATTCACTCTCTCCACTAAACGGCTCGTTGCAGCTCTTGCCCCCCCCCTCCCTGTGAGCCCAGTGTGCTCCGATTGGTCGGGACCAGTCGGGACGTTGTGAATCGCGCTGAGCTCTGTGGAGGTGTTATTTCCTTGTTTAGCGATACACAGCCAAACTCATCCTGAGCACACACAAAGTCACAGCCGAAGTAAAAACAATAAGTGTGGCTTGATATTGAGAAAGAAAAAGGTTGATATACGCTGTGAGAATGGGTCTGCAGAGAGAATGGGTCTGTAGAGAGAATGGGTCTGCAGAGAGAATGGGTCTGCAGAGAGAATGGGTCTGCAGAGAGAATGGGTCTGCAGAGAGAATGGGTCTGTAGAGAGAATGGGTCTGCAGAGAGAATGGGTCTGCAGTGAGAATGGGTCTACAGAGAGAATGGGTCTGTAGAGAGAATGGGTCTGCGGAGAGAATGGTCTGCAGAGAGAATGGGTCTGCAGAGAGAATGGGTCTGCAGAGAGAATGGGTCTGCAGAGAGAATGGGTCTGCAGAGAGAATGGGTCTGTAGAGAGAATGGGTCTGTAGAGAGAATGGGTCTGCAGAGAGAATGGGTCTGTAGAGAGAATGGGTCTGTAGAGAGAACGGGTCTGCGGAGAGAACGGGTCTGCAGAGAGAATGGGTCTGTAGAGAGAATGGGTCTGTAGAGAGAACGGGTCTGCGGAGAGAACGGGTCTGCAGAGAGAACGGGTCTGCAGTGAGAATGGGTCTGCAGAGAGAATGGGTCTACAGAGAGAACGGGTCTGTAGAGAGAATGGGTCTGTAGAGAGAACGGGTCTGCGGAGAGAACGGGTCTGCAGAGAGAATGGGTCTGCAGAGAGAATGGGTCTGCAGAGAGAATGGGTCTGCAGAGAGAATGGGTCTGTAGAGAGAATGGGTCTGTAAAGAGAATGGGTCTGCAGAGAGAATGGGTCTGCGGAGAGAATGGGTCTGCAGAGAGAATGGGTCTGCAGAGAGAATGGGTCTGTAGAGAGAATGGGTCTGCGGAGAGAACGGGTCTGCAGAGAGAATGGGTCTGTAGAGAGAATGGGTCTGTAGAGAGAACGGGTCTGCGGAGAGAACGGGTCTGCAGAGAGAATGGGTCTGCAGAGAGAATGGGTCTGCAGAGAGAATGGGTCTGCAGAGAGAATGGGTCTGTAGAGAGAATGGGTCTGTAAAGAGAATGGGTCTGCAGAGAGAATGGGTCTGCGGAGAGAATGGGTCTGCAGAGAGAATGGGTCTGCAGAGAGAATGGGTCTGTAGAGAGAATGGGTCTGCAGAGAGAACGGGTCTGTAGAGAGAACGGGTCTGCAGAGAGAATGGGTCTGTAGAGAGAACGGGTCTGCGGAGAGAATGGGTCTGTAGAGAGAATGGGTCTGCAGAGAGAATGGGTCTGCAGAGAGAACGGGTCTGTAGAGAGAATGGGTCTCCAGAGAGAATTTCCCCGCGATCCCAACTGTCTGTTATCAGCCTGCAGCAGGGAGGAGAAATCAGCTGAGCTGCCTGCACTGAGTGTGTGAGGAAGTCGTGGATTGGTCAATTTGGACCAATCAGCGGGGGCTTAACGTAACGGCTCCGCGGATGTAACGTAACGGCTCCACGGATTGGCGCATTTGGTTCCGGCTACCGCATGACCGTATCGCGTCATAGTTTTGGGCGTGGCTACTGGGTGTTCACACGTCACAAGGTTTTGACTCTGCAGCCCGTTTACATGCATAAAAACCTTCATAACACACAAGGGGACGGGTAATAACCGGAAAAGCATGACATGTCTCCTTTAAAGAAAAGTTTGATATTGGTCAGTTTTTAGTAATGCATAAGGTAAAAGTAAATTAATATGATTAGGTTCCATTGATAACACTACATTTTACACTACTACATCTCTCTCATAAATATTTTTGAGGTCGCCCTCATAGGTCAGCTGGTGCTGGGGCTCTAGATAGATAGATAGATAGATAGATAGATAGATAGATAGATAGATAGATAGATAGATAGATAGATAGATAGATAGATAGATAGATAGATAGAGATAGTTTATTGATCCCAATTTGGAAAGTTATTTTTTTTATAGAAGATCTGCTGTGGACGTAGCATCAACACAATGAACAAAATAACCAACAGCTATGATAGGTTTTTAAGACATTAATAATTGACTCTGTTGAACTGTATGTATAAAATAATGGGTTATCGAAAAATATATTTCCTAGAGTCCAAGGTGTCATTTTCAAATACTTTAAACTTTTTAATTGACTGTTTTCTGATTCATCATAATTACATAACCGGTAACTTCCCCGGAAAGTCAAGATGGAGAGCGGCCTGTCTGAAGTCTGACTGATTTGATGTAATTAAACCAAAGTTTATTATGATGGTTTGGATTTAAATAATTGTGTGTGTGTGTGTGTGTGTGTGTGTGGTTGTGTGTGTGGTTGTGTGTGTTGTTGTGTGGTTGTGTGTGTGTCTGCAGTGTTACTGGTTGATCTCTCAGACTGGAGAAGATGAGTGAGGAAGAGGACAAGTCTTCAGTCTCCAGCTGTCTGTCTCTGAAGAGTGACTGGTCTAAAGAGACCCCTCCATACTTCAGTAATGAACCTGGACCCTCAGACCCAAAGTAAGAGTCTGTTTCTACTGTAAACTGTAAATCAGATTTTATATAATCTGATAATCTGAACTGTTCTTTAATAATGTGTGCAGTAGAGTACATAAAACACAGTAAGATATTATAGAAACACCGTAGAGTATAGTAAACAAGGAGAATAGAGAACAGTAAACATTATTTAAGGATATTTCTGTTACGGCTGGAGGGCAAGGTACGCAGGACCCAAATGCAGAAAATAGGTTGAAAGCAGGAATACTTTATTTCCAGAACTAGGCAACTAGGCAACTATTGCCTAGGCAATATGCGCTGCAAGGATCTCTCTGGGTGCAGTCTGGGTGGAAGAGCCACCTGCTGCATGGAGCTCTCTGGGTCTCTGTGAGTCTCACACCCCGCTTCTCTCTGGGTACTCTCTCCCTCTATTCACACCACTTTTCCCCGCCTTTCAGAGACTTATTGCTGGGTAGAAAAGCCTTGTGCATCACCCTGGATCTCTGCCTGTGAGTCTGAGACCCTGCTAACAGCAGTGACTCTGCTGTACTTATCTTCTTGTACATTTCATTAGTCAAATGTGGACGAAATGGACAGTTTCCTGTCCATATGACCGGCTGTTTGTCCAGTCAAATGTGCATTTGAATTAAAACAGTTTAATGCACTTTTAACACTCATGTACCCACGATTCAAGCTGCTTTCCTGGCTTACAAAGTGCTGTGAAGCAGCCTGTCCTCTAGGTGGGGGAGCCATGTGCTGCAAGGAGCTCTCTGGGTGCACTCTGTGGGTCTCACAGCCTGCTTCTCCGGGGTGCTGGAGAGTCATTTTCAGGCTCCTCTCCACAGTTATCCCCCTAAAAATGATTTTTAATCATTATTTTTGCATTTAAATGATTTATGTTATCATTAACATGGTTCCCAAACACAATGCACATAGTCTGGAGCTCACTGGGGTCCTGCATATATCAGGCGTTTTAACACTTTTTTCCATGAAAATTATTTTTATTCACTATCATAATAAATCAAATTCCGGGTAATTCGGAGCACAATTGTACCTTTTACTATTTAAATGTATTTGTATTATATATTTTTGGGCTATAAAGTGACATTTCTGGGTGACTTTGTCAGTTTATGGAGCTTAGCCCATAAATCCTGGAGGTTCCAGGCAGAATTTGGGAGCTCCTGCCATGCGCCCCCACCTGTGGAAAGAAGAAAAAAGTAAAGAAAACGGTCAATTATATCTTAAAATAATCAAAACTGAAGTTTAAAAAAATTGTTGAAAAAGCTTCAAAGTGCCAACAGAAAAGGGGCTCAAAAAAGCTCAACCCTTCGGCGCTTCCGGCCAAAGCCCCGGACACTTTTCCACTCCCCCCCCCAACTTACAGCGGAGAGGGGAAATCAAGCCTCCCCTTCTCCGTCAAAAAAATGCATTCATCCATTTCAGACTACAGTCCGCACGAAATCGGAAACCCAGTTTTTGAGAGGACTCAGAAAAAAAACGGCTGTCTCACTTCATGGAGGAATGTGTCCGCTATGTGCACTCTGGCTCAGATGAATTTGTTGCCTAGAGAGCCCCCAGCATGGTTCTTACCAAACTTTAAGTCAACTCAGACTTTTTTCTGACTCTGGAGGAATGCAAGGGGAGTTGACAGGGGACTCTACCCGCCTTATGAGGCACTATTTTCGGATACTTTTTTACATTTTCACCCCTTTTGCCTGGTTATTATTATTTTTGTTTCTGTTTTGGCCCGTTCCACCCGGTTCCTTCTACCGGGGGCACTGCCCGGTCCCGGGTGCCCCCCCACGGCCTTTTTCCAGCCGTTCCCCCTCCCCCCCAACTCACCCGTACATTAACGGATTTTGTCCATTTTTTTCTATGTTCTTCTCCTCTGAGCTCACTGATCGAATGGCAGACGCGACCCGCCATCGGAGGGCCTCTCTGCCGGCCCGGCCTTGTGCCGGTGCTCTGGCGGTCGGTTCCTCCAAACTGCGGGTTCTTCTCCTTTGACCTCACTGATCGAATGGCAAACGTGACCCGCCATTGGAGGGTCTTCTCCCCCGGTCCACGTGCCGGTGCTCTGGCGGTCGGTTCCTCCGAACTGCGGGTTCGACTCTGATGGCCGGGAGGGTGTGCTGCGTGGGGGTAACCCTGCGTGTCTCTTACCTCCCGGGCCGACAGATATGAAGCGTTTCCAAGACGAACCGTCTGACTCAGGGGTCCCACCACGGGTTCCGCAGCGGGGTGGAACCTCCGGGCTGGAACCTCCCCACTTCGCAGAGGAGTGCCAGGCAAACATTTGTTTCTCTTACCCTCCACTGTTGCATAGTGGCCTTAGTCGGCTGCGGCATTCAGCAATTGGCTTTTCCCCAGGCCCGGTTCCCCCGGGGACCGGTGCTCGGTGGCTTCACATGATATATGGTCGACCCTACTTCATCACGGGCTACCTGGTTGGTACATATATGCTTGCCGTAAGGGGGATATTGCCTGGTCGCGGGTGTCCCTCCAGAGGCTTGAGTCGAGCCGTCGGCTGCGGTATCATCAATTGGGGTGCTCCACATACTGTATATGCTTGTCCCTAAGGGGGTTGCTACAAGCGCTCGGTGGCTTCACATGATATAGGGTCGACCCTACTTCATCACAGGCTACCTGTTTGATCCTGCGTAACAACCACATATGCTTGTCTGCAAAGAGGGAACTGCCTGGTTTCTGCCCGGGTGTTCCTCTACGGCTAGTGTCCAGCCGTCAGCAAATTTGACCCGCCATCGGAGGGTCTCCCCCCCGGGTCCACGTGCCGGTGCTTGGCGGTCGGTTCCTCCAAACTGCGGGTTCGACTCTGCTACTGGAGTGGACAAAGATATGTGTATTTGCCTGAATGATGGGAATAAACAAAGAATGATATTTTACAGGACATGACGGAGATAGGTGTATTTTCCTGGCTTTCTTGGAAATAAACCAAATTTGATATTGCAGGGCATTACGGAGCTCATTTACCCGTGTGATGTTGTGCAGTACATTACTGAGCTCATTTAACGACATGGATTCGCAAGGTTTACCAGGGGCACTAAGGTCTTACCCGGATGTCCTTATGTGTTTAGTCAGAGTGAGAGTGCTTAAGTTTGGGTACACAGCTTTGCCAGGCGCACCCACCCGTGGAAAGACGAATATGACAAAAAAGTTAAAGTGTGAACCTCCATCACAGGGGGGGGTGCCGTGAAGAAGGCCGAATATGGATGACGATGGGCGGACGGTAAAGCACCGCAAAATCCACCCCCCTTTTAGGGTTACCAGGGGCATGAGGTTCTGTAGGGTGTGATCATCTGGGTTTAGTCCGTGGGGGAGTGCTTAAGTCCGGGGGCCAGGGGACTCACGGTGTGCAAGGTTATGGAGGTGCCCGTGTCAGAGACACATGCTGGAGGTCATTAGTCCATCCTTTGGGGGTCTTGGAGGGGCCACAGAGAGGTGATTTCCCCGGTCTCTGTCCTGGATGTGTGAAATAACCTGAGTCCCCATTTCAGGGACGCATGCTGGAGGTCTCTAGTCCGTCCTTCGGGGCTCTGTGAGCCGGCAAAGAGAGGGGGTTTACCCGTCGTCCCTCCTGGAAGTGTGAAATAAACAGAGTCCCCATGTCAGGGACACATGCTGGAGGTCTGTAGTCCGTCCTTTGGGGGTCTTGGAGCGGCCACAGAGAGGTGATTTCTGCGGTCTCTCCTGGATGTGTGAAATAACCTGAGTCCCCATTTCAGGGACACATGCTGGAGGTCTCTCTCCCGAGAGTGGACGTCCATTGCCTCTAAATAGGGGTCAAATTAGGTCTGTCACTTTGGGTAACCGCACCACTGTCGGACATCTCCCGAGAGTGGACGTCCATTGCCGGTATGTCAGGGAAGCCGTCCGACTGAAGAAGGAGGCCTTCAAGGATATGTTATCCCGGGGGAGTCCCGAGGCAGTTGCAAGGTACCGACAGGCCCGAAGGGCAGCAGCCTCAGCCGTGGCCGAGGCAAAGCAGCGGGTGTGGGAGAAGTTCGGAGAAGCCATGGAAAAGGACTTTCGGGCAGCACCAAAGTTGTTTTGGAAAACTGTCCGACACCTCAGGAGGGGGAAGCAGGGAACTATCCAAGCTGTGTACAGTAAGGATGGGACGCTGTTGACCTCAACTGATGGAGTGTTAGGGCGTTGGAAGGAACACTTTGAGGAACTCCTGAACCCAACAACTCCGCCCTCTCTGGTAGAGGCAGAGCTGGAGTATGACAGGGGATCAACATCAATCTCCCGGGGGGAGGTCACTGAGGTAGTCAAGCAACTCCACAGTGAGAAAGCCCCGGGGGTGGATGAGATCTGCCCAGAAATGCTGAAGGCTCTGGGTGTTGAGGGACTGTCATGGTTGACACGTCTCATCAACGTTGCGTGGAAGTCGGAAACAGTACCGAAGGAGTGGCAGACCGGGGTGGTGGTTCCCCTTTTCAAAAAGGGGGGTCAGAGGGTGTGAGCCAATTATAGAGGCGTCACACTACTCAGCCTCCCCGGGAAAGTTTACTCTAATGCGGCTTTCACACCAGCGCTTTTACCTTTCTAGCTCCGAGCTAGAGCTTTTCTGGTTCAGCTCCGGTTTCCCTTTTCTGCTCCCGCTCTGTTCACACCGCCCAGAGCCCGACTGGTGCTGCCGCTGCTGCGTCATGACGTCACCGTTTATATCGCTGATTTGCTCCCCAACGGTGTTACGCCGCTCACAACAACAACAACAACAACTGCGTCGGGTCGATGATCGTGTTGCTTTTAATCACACAAAGCCAGATTAAATTAAATAAGGACTGCTCCAACCTTATACTTTGCTCCCGAGTGCCGTGGTTCATTGTTTATTATTGTGTTTCTGCAGCATTTACCGACCGCTGCAGTGTTGGCTGCTCTTCCACGGGAGTTTATTCTCCCGTTAGCTCCCGGTTAGCTCACACTGCAGCGGCCGCTCTAAAGTATTCACTCTCCGACTCACACAAGCAGCTGATACATATCCCCAGTTCCCCTTAGCCTAAGTGAATGTGTGTCAGTCTGAATTGACGCTGTTTGGCTTCACAACATTATGAACGTTTCTCTGGTATAAAATGGGTGATGTTAGCATAGCAACCGAAGCTAAACTGACTACTTGCTATTGCTATCCTATTGTGGCATAAACCGTTTTCTACAGGCACATTTTACCGGCGTATTTTTATTATGATTCTACTTGTGATAGTCGGACACGACAACCTGTGCAGCCCATGTATTGATTCCATCCGATAGCTGCTACAATACAAAACAAAACGTCTGCCTCTCTCCACAATGATCAATAACAATGAACGGATGGTCAAAGTAAGGTACAAATAAACAGAATCACACGAAGCCTGGTTAGTGTTGCCTGACTTTATAAAGTGTGTTTATAAGCACTACTGCTTGTAGGCAGGCATGACAGTCGACCCATGTTCAGGTGAGGTGGGTTTAGTTTCCTGCATGCCTCAACGTAAGAGAGACGTAAGTAACGCGACCTCTTAGCTCCGAAGCTCTTGCCTCTAGACCGACAATTTTTTGGAGCTGGAAGTGAACCGGATTCCGGAGCTAAGAGGTGGCGCCGCTGCGGTGTGAACAGGAAAAACCGGCACTTTTCAGGCTCCGGCTCCGAGCCGGAGCTGAAAACGCGTTGGTGTGAAAGGGGCATAAGGTACTCGAAAGGAGGGTCAGGCCGGTTGTCGAACCTCAGATTGAGGAAGAACAGTGCGGATTCCGTCCTGGTCGTGGAACGACGGATCAGCTTTCTACTCTCGCAAGGATCCTGGAGGGGGCCTGGGAGTATGCTTATCCGGTCTACATGTGTTTTGTAGATTTGGAGAAGGCATATGACCGGGTTCCCAGGGAGTTACTGTGGGAGGTGCTGCGGGAGGTCTCTACTCAGGGCCATCCAATCTCTGTACTCCCAAAGCGAGAGCTGTGTCTGGGTCCTCGGCAGTAAGTCTGACCCATTTCCGGTGAGGGTTGGCCTACGCCAGGGCTGAGCTTTGTCACCAATCCTGTTTGTAATATACATGGATAGGATTTTGAGGCGTGGGAGGGGGGGAGGTGGTCTGCAGTTCGGTGGACTAAGGATTGCACCACTGCTTTTTGCAGATGATCTGGTTCTAATGGCTTCATGGGTTACCTTCAGAACTCACTGGATCGGTTCGCAACCGAGTGTGAAGCGGCTGGGATGAGGATCAGCACCTCCAAATCTGAGGCCATGGTTCTCAGCAGGAAACCGATGGACTGTCCACTCCAAGTAGGGAATGAGTCCTTACCCCAAGTGAAGGAGTTCAAGTATCTCGGGGTCTTGTTCTCAAGTAAGGGTACAATGGAGCGTGAGATGGGCCGGAGAATCGGAGCAGCGGGAGCGGTACTGCAGTCGCTTTACCGCACCGTTTTAATGAAAAGGGAGCTGTGCCAGAAGGCAAAGCTCTCTATCTACCGGGCCGTTCCTACCCTCACCTATGGTCATGAAGGATGGGTCATGACCAAAATAACGAGATCGCAGATACAAGCGGCCGAGATGAGTTTCTTCGCAGGGTAGCTGGCATCTCTCTTAGGGATAAGGTGAGAAGTCATCCGGGAGGGACTCGGAGTTGAACCGCTCCTCCTTCGCGTCGAAAGGAGCCAGTTGAGGTGGTTCGGGCACCTAGTAAGGATGCCTCCTGGGCGCCTCCTTAGGGAGGTGTTCCAGGCACGTCCAGCTGGGAAGAAACTGAGGGGTAGACCTAGGACCAGGTGGAGGGATTATATCTCTTCGCTGGCCTGGGAGCGCCTTGGAATCCCCAGTCAGAGCTGGTTGATGTGGCCAGGGAAAGGAAAGTTTGGGGCTCTCTGCTGTAACTGCTACCTCAGCGACCCGACCACGGATAAGCGGAAGAAGATGGATGGATGGATAAAGCGATATATAGCTCCAACATTAGCTTTAATGAAACTGATCTCATTCAGAAAACAAACATTTTAAAGTGTTTTGCTCGTCGTGTTGCAGACGGACCTGACAATGCATTAACTTAATCTTTTTACAAATCACTATCATCACGTTGTTATTTCGTTATCCTTTCAATATTTTTATTGGAATAAATTCACAAAATATTATATAATAAATTCTATGTAAATTGGGTTCATAATGCTATAGTTTTGATAGATTAATACAGCTGATGTATGCCTTAGTAGATACAGGGAACATGTGCTCCTCTGGGTCATGAATCCAGACAGGATGCTGTTTGGTTTTATAATAATATGAAGCTCAAACTATCGACCTAATCACCAAGATATATTATATAGAGATATTTTTAAATATCAAACTAGAATTTGCCCCCTTGTTGTACCTTTGGTGAGAATCAGCTCCACTAATGTAAAGTGCTATAAAGGATGTGTTCATCTCCACAGAGGGAAGAGGAAGAGTGGTGTTCCTGTGGAGGAGCAGCTGTACAGCTGTGCTCTGTGTCAGGATGTCCTGAAGGATCCAGTCTCTACCAGCTGTGGGCACTGGTTCTGCAGACAGTGCATCACCTCATACTGGGAGCAGCACCCTCCATCAGGAGACTCCTCCTGTCCTCAGTGTGGAGAAAGACCCAGAACCAGAGCTGGACTGCAGACGGCCAGTCAGACCAGTTCTGTACAAAGTAAGAGGCTGAACACATGCAGCGTCTTTACCTCCGTCTGGGTGCTGGGTGTCTTCTCTTCCAAAGAAATACTATCACCTGATCTCTTCAGGCATTGTTTTTAAGTTTGTAAAAAAATATTTACCATGGGACTGTAGTGTTTCCCTAAAAAATGTTTTCTGTCTTAATCTCAGGAAAACATTAGCCCTGCAGAAATATAACATTTACGTATGATAGTAAAGATCTCTGCCACGTGGTATTTGGTTGTTCCTTCTGGAGTCTTCATGTCCAGAATTTTTCATTTGTATTCATATTTTGTTTAGTGTCGCATTGTAAAGCATAGATCTTCTTCAAGGCGTTGTTACAGTAACGCGTTACAAAGTAACGCCGTTATTTTTGTAGTAACTAGTACTCTAACGCATTACTTTTTGAATTCAGTAACTCAGTTACCGTTACTACATGGTGCGTTACTCCGTTACTGCGTTAGTTTTTTTTTATATAGTCAACAGCCAGGCGAACAGAGATGAGAACTGTACTTAAGTACAGTACTTGAGTAAATGTACTTAGATACTTCCTGTGTCACATGCGGAGACGCGCTGTGGGCGTGTTTGTGTTGTTTACTAACAAGACTATCATGGCGGCGGCGGAGCTCAAGTCTAGTTTCTCCACCTGGAGATATTCTCACTATTTCACTTTTGTCGAGCACAAAGAAAATAACGTTTTAGTTAAATGTAAGATGTGTCTTGGCGGGTCAAAGATTCTATCTACTGCCCAAACCAGTCATTCAAATCTCTTAAAACATCTGCAAAAACAACATGCTGGGACGAAGCTAGTAGCTAAGACCACAGAGACTCAGCCGACGCCACTCCACCTCCACCTAAGCAACAGCGGCTGGATTTTAACCGAGGGACTGCTAGCCAGGGAAAAGTCGATAAAGCCATTGCACGGTATGTTGTAGAACACGTGCAGGCTATTGCTACAGTGGAGTCACCCGCTTTCAGGGAGCTAGTTAGCATGATAGCATGTCCGGGCGGCACACGGCATATGGGACGGAAAACTTTTTCCAACTACCTGGAGAAAGAAAATACAAAAATGGAAAGCCAGCTCATATCGATGCAATCCAGATTGCATATAATGCATGTCAAGTTGATCAACAGATTGTATTATTCTCCAATGCAATAACAGTACTGAAATGAAGGCTATAAGGCAGGGGTGCCCAACCAGTCGATCGCGGGGAGATTCCCAGTCGATCGCGAGATGTGTCTAAAAATAGAACAACCATATTCTGTTTTATCGTTAATGTCCTATAACATAATCTTCCTGTGCCAGAATAATGCACTTGAACGCATCAAATCTTTGTGATTGGCCGGTGTGACCCCATGTGTCGGGGCGTGGCTGGTGGGCAGTGGGCACTATTTCGCTGACGTTGTCGTGTCAACAGGAGTGACAGTCCGCACACACACAAGACCGCAATTATGGCAGAAGCAAAAAAGCCCAAAATATATAATTTCACTCCGAGTGGGAGGATGATTATTTTTGTATCTATTCCAATTCAAAGTCCATCTGTCTCATCTGCAATGCGAGCGTGGCTTTATCGAAGAAGGGTAATTCAGGAGCGGCATTTCAAAACAGTGCACAAACGCTACGAGACGGAATTCCCTCCTAATTCTGCCCTACGCTCCAAAAGGGGAGGGGCCTGAAAGGACAGCTAAATGCACAGCAGTCCATTTTCACCAGGCCCAACAACAAGAGCAAGGCTGCTACCATAGCACCTTATCGTGTCAGTCACGTTCTTATCAAGTCTTTCAAAGACGGCGAAGTTGTGTAAGAAGCATTCCTGGAGGCTGCCGACGCGCTTTTGGGGGACAGTACAAATAACAGAAGCATTTCAACAGGTTTTTGATATAATAAAAACTCAAGTTAGATACCGTTATTAATCAGATGTAAGTTTTAGTTTGTTTGAACTTATTCATTATAATTATTGTACAAAATGGTATAAGAATGCAAACTTAAATTGATTATAGTCTATTATCAATTCAGGTTAAGAAACTAGTGTTGCTTGCATCCTATTTCTTTTTATAATCTACTAAAATGCTACAAAAAAGGGTTTGATTCTATTAATGTTGTCTTTTTTATTGCACTGTTGCAGCAGATTCCTGAGTAGCTTCAGATCTGAGTTGTCTTATTAGTAAGCCTCATTTTAATAGCAAAGAAAGGGTTCTGAGTATTTTCTTTTTCCCTGTGTCATATGTGGCAGCACTGTTCAATGCTTCTTGAAAACATTACCCACTGTAGTGACTTGTGAATAAACTCCAACTCTGTATCAACAACACTGTTGTGTAACTTCAGTTAAATACTTGTATGTGTGTAGATTAGAAAGAGGTAAGATAAAGGATCTGCAGTATTTTAGGAAGTATTCATCGTACAAAGGTCAGTTTTATACAAGTAGAAGTGTGTATTTACCTGGTAGTAGGCTGTCAGTAATGCCTCTCTATTTGGACTGGTAGATCTCGGCAGACTGGCAACTTTAAAAGTAGCTCTCGGTTCAAAAAAGGTTGGGCACCCCTGCTATAAGGGCATTAATGGGAGCCCTTCTTTTAAGTAACGAAAACGTTACTTTTCACAGTAACGCATTACTTTTGGGTGTAAGTAACTAGTAAAGTAACTGAGTTACTTTTGAAATGAAGTAACTAGTAATGGTAACTAGTTACTGGTTTTCAGTAACTAGCACAACACTGCACAGAAGATAGTGAAGATATCTGATGGCTAGGATTGTTGTCTTTATGTCCAGAGTTCTTCTAGTAGAGGAACAAACCCCCAAAAAAGGCTTTAGTTATGGAGATACCCCTACCCCAGGTAGAACAAAGCACAACCATGTTTTTTCATTACTTTAATATCTGTAATATATGAAACGGATTGTATATTTTACTGCAAAATAAAAAAATGTGGTTGATGTATGGAACTTTCCCATAACCGAAAATAGTGAAAATGTAGGCTCCTCTGAAGGGCGCCATGTCAACCTTATCACGTGTATATCTGGAAATAAGGATCAGAATGTCACCAACTTTTGTTTATATGTTCAGGGTGAGGCAAAGCATACACTAAAGCAACATTTTGTACCAATACCTTTGTCCATCTTTGTAAAATATACAATCAAACACTGATACAATTTAGGCGGAAATTAAATTTGAAAGGAAAAATCCAAAAGGTATGTTTATACTTTTCAGTCATTATTAAAGTTAGGAGACCAATCCCCAAAAAACCTTATTTATATGTACCAAAGAGTGTTATCTTGTGATAAAAGTTGGTTATTTGACTATTAGGGGCTGGTAACCTCTTCTGTCCCCAGCCCCTAACAGGTTGCTAGTGCAGCAAGGTCTTCAAACTGACACATAGAATGGGCCCTATAGGTGTAAATGGATGAACGAAAGGACACAGACCATAGATTAAGGCAAAAAACAAGATTTAAAATAATTATTTTTATATAATATATATAATAATAAACCCATCTTTATCATTCTTAATGCATTTATCTTTATATTTAGTTAATCTTTGAATTAACATGGCAATAGGCCTACTGTGAGCCAACAGGCCTTGCTGATGGAAGGAGGTTGTCACTCAAAATCTCACGATACATGGCCCCATTCATTCTTTCCTTTACACGGATCAGTCGTCCTGGTCCCTTTGCAGAAAAACAGCCCCAAAGCATGATGTTTCCACCCCCATGTTTCACAGTAGGTATGGTGTTCTTTGGATGCAACTCAGCATTCTTTCTCCTCCAAACACGTCTAGTTGAGTTTTTACAAAAGAGTTCTATTTTGGTTTCATCTGACCATATGACATTCTCCCAATCCTCTTCTGGATAATCTAAATGCTCTCTAGCAAACTTCAGACGGGCCTGACGCGTTAAATTATCATTTTTTAAACCATGTCTATTTTAAGATTCTCAAAAGCATTTTCCTGATTCTCTCCTGTTTCCTTCTCTTCCAGCAGAACGTGGTCTGCAGGAGGTTCTATATGAACATAGGCTCAGTCTGAGGAGGAAATGTGAACGTGTGACTGAAGGAACTGATCAAAGTGAAACCCTCCTCAACAGCATCTTCACTGAGCTCTACATCACACAAGGCCTCAGTGAAGAGGTTAATACTCAGCATGAGGTGAGGCAGCTGGAGACAGCTTCCAAGAAGAAGCCCCTCCATGACACTCCAATCAAGTGCCAGGACATCTTTAAAGCCTCACCTGACCAGCAGACTCCCATCAGAGCGGTCCTGACCAACGGAGTCGCTGGAGTTGGAAAAACCTTCTCAGTGCAGAAGTTCACTCTGGACTGGGCCGAGGGTTTGGGAAACCAAGATGTCAGTCTGGTGATCCCGCTCTCCTTCAGGGAGCTGAACCTGATCAAAGGAGAGCAGTACAGTCTTCTCAGGCTGCTCCATGTTTTCCATCCAACCTTACAGAAGGTCACAGCAGAGCAGCTGGCTGTCTACAAAGTGCTGCTCATCTTTGACGGCCTGGATGAAAGCAGACTTTCTCTGGACTTCAGAAACAATGAGGTTGTGTCTGATGTCTCTCAGCAGTCCTCAGTCAACGTGCTGCTGACAAACCTCATCAGGGGGAAGCTGCTTCCCTCGGCTCTCGTCTGGATAACTTCCAGACCTGCAGCGGCCAATCAGATCCCTCCTGAATGTGTGGACAGGGTAACAGAAGTACGAGGCTTCACTGACGCCCAGAAAGAGGAGTACTTCAGGAGGAGATCGAGTGATGAAGACCTGTCCAGCAGAATCATCTCTCACATCAAGAGCTCCAGGAGCCTCCACATCATGTGTCTGATCCCAGTCTTCTGCTGGATCACTGCTGCAGTTCTGGACCACATGTTGACTACAGACCAGAGAGGAGAGCTGCCCCAGACCCTCACTGACATGTACGCACACTTCCTGCTGGTCCAGACCAAGAGGAAGAAGCAGAAGTATGAAGCGGGACATGAGACGAGTCCACATTGGCTGACGAAGCCTGACAGGGAGCTTCTTCTGAAGCTGGGGAGGCTGGCGTTTGAACATCTGGAGAAAGGAGACATCATGTTCTACCAAGAAGACCTGCAGCGCTGTGGTCTTGGTGTCACCGAGGCCTTGGTGCACTCAGGAGTTTGTACAGAGATCTTCAAAAGAGAGAGTGTGATCTTCCAGAAAACAGTCTACTGCTTTGTTCATCTGAGCGTTCAGGAGTTTCTGGCTGCAGTCTACATGTTGCACTGTTACACCAACAGAGACACAGCGGTACTGAAAGACTTCCTGCAGAGAGACTTGGACGAAGACAACAGTGATAGCAGTGATAGCAGTGATCAGGAGTACTCATCCCTGGATGTCTTCCTAAAGAGCACCATGGAGAAATCCCTCAGAAGTAAAAATGGCCACCTGGACCTGTTTGTCCGCTTTCTCCACGGCCTCTCTCTGGAGTCCAACCGGAGACTCTTAGGAGGCCTGCTGGGTTGCACAGACAACCATCCAGAAACCATCCAGAGAGCCATCAGCAACCTGAAGGAGATGAACAGTTATGAAATCTCTCCTGACAGGAGCATCAACATCTTCCACTGTCTGACAGAGATGAAGGACCTCTCAGTACATCAGGAGATCACAGAGTTCCTGCAGTCAGAGAACAGATCAGAGAGACTCTCTGAGATCCACTGCTCTGCTCTGGCCTACATGCTGCAGATGTCAGAGGAGGTTCTGGATGAGTTGGACCTGGAGAAGTACAACACATCAGAGGAGGGGAAACAGAGACTGATTCCAGCTGTGAGGAACTGCAGGAAGGCACAGTAAGTCCAGATGTGATTCACTTTATAAACTAGATCAGAAGTTTAGTTCTTCAAATATCAGTTATTCTATTTATTATAATAATGTTACCTTTTACATTTTTCAGTTCTCTTCATATTCCTTTTCAAACAAATGAAGGACTTTAGAGATGTTCTCACAGCAGCATGTGATCACAACACACAGCAGTATGTTACAGTTATCAGTGAATGCAGTCATTCAGATATCATTCAGTTTGTTCAACATCTGTTTTTACCACAATGTTTAAGAGATTAAAATAAGATCTGACAGGCTGACAAAGAATATAGAAAACTCTATTAATATTATTATATTAAGTTGACTAACAGAAAATGAACTTGTTTTATCAAATTCATGAAGTTAATATAATGTTTTCTCTCTTTTATGCTAACTCTTTTTGTAATATTTGTGTGACAGACTTGTTAACTGTGGACTCTCAGAGTCTCAATGTGAAGTCGTGGCCTCAGCTCTGAGGTCGGACCCCTCCCATCTGAGAGATCTGGACCTGAGTGAGAACGATCTGAAGGATTCAGAAGTGAAGCTGCTGAGTTCTGGACTAACGAGTCCAAACTGCAGACTGGAGACTCTCAGGTTAGTTCAATAACTGGATCAAATAATATCATTATTATAGATATATTTTTCGGTATTTATCATTTGTAGAATTTTCCTGAGAACAATACATTTTCAATATTTTTTTCTGATTTTGCTAATGGTTTAATATTGAGTAGAATAACATAGGTCAGAGAAAGTGAATGTGTGACGGAGAGTTTTTCAGCTTCCACAGACTCACTCTGTGCTCCATGAGTCAGAGAAGATGCTTTCAGTTGATGAGCTGAGATAGAGGGGACTATTTTCTACAACACGGGGTGAGATCGTCTCCTTTTTGATCGTGTTTTTCCTTTTTTTTTGTGGATTAAAAATACAAACATTTCCGTTTTGCTGCCGACGGGCGCGGTAGCAGCAGCCTTTCTCAATTAACTATATATATAGTTCAACAAAAGGATACCCAACATCTAAATATTGGATTGTTCTTTCTTAGTAAGATCCCATTTTCATTACCAATTGGGGTCTTACCTTGACTTGAAGATGAAGTCCATGCTCTCCTTCTGGACAACAATCTCTATTACTTTTTTGTAAAAGTCCTCCGTATCTTCCTCTAGTTTCAAAAGTCTAGTTTGTTGTTTGCGTCTACCGTCTCTGCGTAGAATAACAGTAGCAACAAGGACCTGTGGGCTCACTTGCGCCCCCTTCAGTGCGGCAGAGGTTATGGCTGCCTCCCCTGGTGCTTTTTTCATTGCCGTTGTATGATGAGACCAGCGAGCCTAAATATCATATATACGTGAAATAAGTTATTTAGAGACTATGGATGGCGAGGATAAATGTAATAAAGGGATCTACAAACATTACATTGGTGACATACAGTGAGATGGTGCAGGCATGCGCTTAGGGCCCGCTTTCCAGCCAGTTTCTGTGGGGTGACGCATTCTGAGGTGAGGCAGAGCTCATCTGTGCCTCACCTCACCCCACAGTAACTGGCTTGGGCGCGCTCACAAAATAAGTGCCCGCGTTACATTAGTGCCCGCGCTCCAGCCAGTTACTGTGGGCTTACGAGAGGCAGAGCTCGTCCCTGCCTCTCTCCTCATCGCTCCCATGTAGTTGTAGCGGAGCTCGACAAATTTGCTGATTTTGACTATAAAAAGCGATTGGAATCAAACATAAATCACATTTACAACACAGATCAGTGGAGACATGTTATCATTATTACTGTTTAGTTTTTCTTTAGTTGTTGTTCCGTTACATTGTAGTATGGCCAGTCTATGAGTATGACAGGTGAGGCTCTGCCTCCCCTGACTGCACGTCGCTGTAAACATCAGCATATCCGGTCCTAGTCCGGTGATTACCTGCTAACGGAAACTCTGCTACACAATTCTTATTATTATTATTGAAACATGACCGGTAAGTTTCAAATTTGTCCGGTAAAATAAATTCTGTCCCGAAATATCAGCTTACATTCATAATGTCAGCGGAGGGAGGGAGGCGGCGCTGTGGAAGAGCAGAGTGGAGGGAGAGCTGTCATCTTCCCTTTACAAGCTTCAAACATGTATTTATCGTGTGATTTTGGAAATAAAAGTTTCATATTCTGAAAGCCAAGACTTTGTTTATTTAAAATCAAACAAAACACCCGATCCCCGAAAAACTTTTTTTTTTACGCAAATCCACGTTTATTTTGAAATGAGCCGTTGCGACTTTCAACTGATTTCGATAGAGCGGGTCACATATGGCAAATGTGTGGTTGGGGGGAACCCAACCACACATACATTGAGTTTGAGTAAAATACTTGGTTACTGATTAATTTAGGTTATAATATATTAAATTGCAAAGCAAAACTGCTGTAATTGATTTATTTTGTCCTTTGATATTTTTTAACGGTTTTCAACCTGAAATAATCCTAATGTGTCCTTGAAAAGTTGAAATAAAGAAAAGGAAAAAGGATTCCAGTTGTCCATGCATCCTCTGTTGCCCCTCAAGCCTCTCAAATGTGCAAACACTCAAATAAATGCCAAAAACCCAGAGAACTTGACAATACTTATCAGAATAAAAGTATGTTAAATAACACTGCTAGTTAATAACTCTACTCAGTGGAGGCTCATCCATTGAGGAAAGGGAGGACCATCCTCCCTACAATTTCAGAGAAAAATAAACTTTGAAGAGAACAATAAATACACCTCAATTAAAAAGATAAGTCTGTTAAAATACAGACAATAGCCCTGGCTTTGGGACTGAAATGGGGCTAGAGAGGACGAGCCTCTCTTTGGGCGGGTCTAGCCAAAGGCTCTGGATTGGGCCAACAGGGGCGCTGCGCCCTCTTACCAAAATCAATTCCTTGAATTAGGCTTTGATTATGTTCTGGCCCGCCATCTTGCGGCTCAGCAAAAGATTGGCCCACGGCCAAACTTACTTGCCTACTCCTGATCTATAGTTTGATAGATATTACGAAGATGATTTGAGGTATGCGGCAGCCTCCATGTAAAGTTACAGGTTGAAAACAATATTTCCGGTCTTGACGTTTTTATAATAAAACCAATGATAAAATTATTTAACAGTGATATCTGCAGTACTCACCAACTAAAAAACATCAGTTTATCCTTGTTAATTACACAATATTGATTGGTTTAAATTGTGTATAATGCTTTTGTGTTTTTCCCATTGGTTTTTCTCTTTCGATTCTGAGAGACACCTTTTTTTTTTCAGAGGCTAAAACATAGATTGTTTTAGCCGCAATGCATGTTGGGATATGATGTTTATCCGATATGAAATCGGAAAACTTTTTTTTTTAAATAAAATAATACTTTATTCCGAGTGTTCTTGCTTTAGGGTTAGGGTTGACAATATACAAGGATGAAAATACCCATAACCAGACATACAAAACTACAACACAGACAGATCCTAACACTCTCCTCTCATTTCTCTTCTCCCTTCTCTCTCTCTCAATGTTGGTACGCAAATGCACCTTTTTTCAAATGACCCGGTGCTCTTTTCTTGGCGGAGGTGCGCGTGCGCACCTGCGCACCAGTTATGTGCAGCCCTGACTATTAACTTTATTGTGAAATTAAAACAGAACGGTAAAGGAAAATACAGTTTCAGTCTCTCGATGTGAAGCTTATGCATTGTACCATGAACCTGTATAGACCTGTAACAGTCAACTGCATGAGGAGTTGGAAAGGTAGTAAATAATATCTTTAAAAACTACAAAAAAGTCCCTTTCTATCAGCTGTGCACCGTTATGGTGTAAATACAGCCTATCTACCAATTGGATCAAATATAAAAGTCAGCCGAATTAGTGTTGATACTGCAAGGAGACGCACCTGCGCACCAGTTATGTGCAGCCCTGCATATTATTTTTGATATGTTTTATTAACTAGACCACTGTTTTTTTAACCCGCACCGCCTAGTGGTTAAAGCACGTTATTGAATTTTGTTGTTGAATACGTTTTATTTGATGAAAACATTAAAATATTAAGAGTAGCCTACATACAACATTGGGGGAAAGTAGAAGGCATGATAGAAATATAGAATAGAAAATATCAAGAAGATACTGTAGTGATCTCTACAATAAAACAGTTTAGTGCAGGACGTCCAAAGACATTAACAGGAGGATGTGTGAAACAGACAAACTAATGAGGCTTTATTTAAACATTAAAGAATACTTTTTTTTAATAAGAAAAAAACGTTGGGGTTATCCACAGATAAATATGAAGTCTGACAAAGTACTTAACGTCCAATATATTGCATAGTTTATTTTGGCACTTGACAATCACCTTCCCTGAATTTGAATACGAAAACCTCTTATAAAGAGACGTGCCATAGAACATGTTGCGAAACACACAATAGCCAGCATGTGTAGTTCTGGCTATTTTGGAAAGTCTGCCATGGTTCCATTCCATTTCATAGAGCTGTTGACGCTCAGCGTAACCTTGTCGCACTGTCACTCCAACATCCAATCACAGGGCTTGATGACTAATCACGGGGTTTGTAAGGCAAGGCGGATGTTGTAGTCCCAAACGATAGCTGGGGATTCTGGGTAGTATAGTGTCTCCGGAAACTGTAGCGTCTAAATTCCGAAAAAACAATTTTTTTCTCTGAATCGAAGGTTAAAAACACAAAAGCATTGTACACAATTTAAACCAATCAATATTGTGTAATTAACAAGGATAAACTGATGTTTTTTAGTGGATCAGTAATGCAGATATCACTGTGTAATTATTTGACAGTGAGGGGAATATATCCGGTTTTATTATGAAAACTTCGAGACCGGAAAAACTTTTTTAACTTTACATGGAAGCTGCATACACGTTATCCTGGCGAGACCTCAAATCATCTTCGTAATATCTATCAAACTATAGATCCTACACATCCACTGGACGTGGATTCTAAGAGTACAATACACGCTTTTCGCCAGAAATCGAATCAAAAAGCATTTTAATGACCAAACTATTCCACAATTTAGGATTTTCCAGAGAGGGTTATTTGTGAATAAACGTCCCTCTGGAGCGTTTGCAATGAACGGGACGGGAGCATGTTGTTTCTTACACGACCACTAGAGCACCTCTAGTGGTCGTGTAAGAAACAACATACACTTTAAAACGTGTCTCTGGGTCGTAATAAGAGCATGACCAATCGGCCTATATGGTCGTTTTTTGTAGGAGGACAGGCTGAAACATGCACACACACAAACACACACACACACACACACACATACACATACCATTATCCAACATCAAAAGCGACACACACATATCATTTCAGTAGCAAGTGACCATTGCAGAAAACAGTAAAAAGTGTGACATTTTGCTGCAGGCTTCAAAGGGTTAAAATTATCGCCATCTTGTAGACCAATGTGAAAATTGAAAGCTAGTAGTGCAAAATGAAACCTTAACATAAAGGAAATCAAGAGTTTATGATAAGATAAATGTGGGGTCAAAAAAAGCATTTTCAATGGGGCATTTTTTGCCGCTAGGAACAAATGCATCAGTTTTTATGTAGCTTAGCCATTTTAGGCTAATTAAAAAAACTGAGACGACAATTCCAAATACAACTAAAAAAGAAAATCCTCTGGCATGTTTGAGCAATATTCATTCAACACAGCCAAAATGGCTTGAACATCAAAACCCGAATGGCTGAAAAATGGCCCCAGGGACTCTTAAGGGTTAATAACGCATAAAACCTGTCTTTGTTTATTTGTGAATGTGTGGGTTGATATAGAAGACAGTAGGAAAATACATTTCCGTTTGGAATATTTTGTAGAAAGAGTAGCTTCTCCGTTTATCATTTCTATTTTGCCTTTATAATAATATTTCGTGTCAAGAACCCCTTGTGCGTAATAAACACATCTATTTGTAATAGAGAAACTGCTGCAGAGAGTTTGAGATTATCAGGGATTTGTTTCTACATCATTGCTAAAGCTTCAGCTCTGAACAGATGATTAAAAAACCTGGAGTTATTTGAAACATGAACATTGTTTTCTAAAGTGACATCATGCTTTCTTTATTCAGACTGAGTGGCTGCTGGTTGTCAGAGATCAGCTGTTCTGGTCTGATCTCAGCTCTGAAGTCCAACCCCTCCCATCTGAGACATCTGGACCTGAGTCACAACGCTCTGCAGGATTCAGGAGTGAAGCTGCTGAGAGATCTTCTGGAGAGTCCAGACTGCAGACTGGAGACTCTCAGGTCAGTTCTCCATCTGTAACTTCTGTGCTGAGATGAAGAGAGTTGTGTTGACTCTGAGCTGCAGACATCAGGCTGATATCACTCTGATCCTCGCTGAGCATCTTAATGCTGACTCTCCTACCCTGCATAATGCACTCATCTCAAACACCTGGAACTCACCTTATATTCTGCAGCACGCTTTAAATACATTATATACAAAATACAACAAGAACATATTTCTAATAAAACTAAACACTAATATTTTCTGAAGCTACACGATGCTTCCACTGACTGAATAGTTCAAACTGAAGATGCTGTGATTTCATGACTCCACTGTTCCTAAAATAAATACTCTGGATGTTTTTCTTCACATTTCTTCAAAACTCATTCTGAAATATTTGCCATCTTTGTAAACGTTGTGATCTTGAGTTGAATCAGTTCCTGTGTGTTTTATTGGTCTGGCTGCACATCATGAGTTAGTGTAGATGGAGCAGAGTCTCAGATGTGAAGTCACCTCTTTATTATTGAAGGAGAAGCACGTTGTCTTTCATATTAATGAGAGATCTTTTCACTTTTTCTCTCTTACAGCTTTTACCTTTGGAGTTTCCACTTTCTAACCTTCTTCAGCTCTGAACAGATTATTAAACCTGGAGTTATTTCAAACAGGAACTTTGTTTTCTAAACTTACATCATGTTTTCTTTATTCAGACTGAGTGGCTGCTGGTTGTCAGAGATCAGCTGTTCTGGTCTGATCTCAGCTCTGAAGTCCAACCCCTCCCATCTGAGACATCTGGACCTGAGTCTCAACGCTCTGAAGGATTCAGGAGTGAAGCTGCTGAGAGATCTTCTGGAGAGTCCAGACTGCAGACTGGAGACTCTCAGGTCAGTTCTCCATCTGTAACTTCTGTGCTGAGATGAAGAGAGTTGTGTTGACTCTGAGCTGCAGACATCAGGCTGATATCACTCTGATCCTCGCTGAGCATCTTAATGCTGACTCTCCTACCCTGCATAATGCACTCATCTCTAACACCTGGAACTCACCTTATATTCTGAAGCACGCTTTAAATACATTATATACAAAATACAACAAGAACATATTTCTAATAAAACTCCTAAACACTAATATTTTCTGAAGCTACACGATGCTTCCACTGACTGAATAGTTCAAACTGAAGATGCTGTGATTTCATGACTCCTCTGTTCCTAAAATAAATACTCTGGATGTTTTTCTTCACATTTCTTCAAAACTCATCCTGAAATATTTGTGATCTTTGTAAACGTTGTGATCTTGAGTTGAATCAGTTCCTGTGTGTTTTATTGGTCTGGCTGCACATCATGAGTTAGTGTAGATGGAGCAGAGTCTCAGATGTGAAGTCACCTCTTCATTATTGAAGGAGAAGCACGTTGTCTTTCATATTAATGAGAGATCTTTTCACTTTTTGTGATCAGGAACATTGTTTTCTAAAGTTACATCATGTTTTCTTTATTCAGACTGGAGCACTGCATGTTGTCAGAGATCAGCTGTTCTGCTCTGGCCTCAGCTCTGAAGTCCAACCCCTCCCATCTTAGAGTTCTGGACCTGAGTCACAACGATCTTCAGGATTCAGGAGTGAAGCTGCTGACTGATCTTCTGGAGAGTCCAGACTTCAGACTAGAGACTCTCAGGTCAGTGAGGGGTCGACTCTCTGCTGGTTCAGCAGTTTAGTATTAAACACAGGGAGGTGTTTCTCTCACTGGGATCACAACAAGTCAGTGATGTTACCCACTGACTGCAGGCTCTTCCTTTTATTCTTCCAGAAACAATATATTGTAAGGTTGAGAACCACTGGTATACAGTTTACTCCCCACGGATGGTGTCAGGCTACAGAAACATTAAAATGTCTCTGAAACATTTTTGAATGATTCAAACACATAAATAAAACATAGGTGTAGTCCTTTAGGCGATTCATGAGGAACCGTTACATATTAAGTACATATATTGTAGAAGTACATGCAGTACATACATATTAATACTTGAACAAAATAGGTGAACTAAAATCCAGCTCTGGGAACGTGGAGGAATATAAATATCTCAGTTTTCCTTGAAGCAGAAGACAGGAAGTGATTCACAGAGCAGATGTTATCAGTTGCAGAGTCACTACATTTATAAGACCTCTGTATGAAGTGATTGTTGGTTATTTAATAAAAGTGTTTTCCTGTTTATCTTCCAGGTCCACGAGGATAAACGTCCCAAAGACATGTTGCATTTTGCAGTGAAAATCTGATCTGAGCATATTCCAAAACGGCAAAGAAAACAAGACCAGGGGCCTGTTCTACGAAGCTGGTTCAACCTAACCTGGATATGTTTGAGTTAGCCGGTTGGCCTAATCCAAAACATACGCGCTCTCGCTAAACTGTACTACGACGCGGGTTATCAAGTGGATCGCTCAAGCCAGCCGTGTCCTATCTAGCTAGGTGCGCGTTCACATGAAAGGGGTGGTATCTGGAGCATTCGACCAATCACAAACATGGAGAAGCGCACTGACAGCGCAGCGTCATACTTCCTGAATGAAAAGTCAACTATAATATTAGACATATGAAGAAGTTAAACTTTAAACATCCATGACTTAAACACTTGATCCAGTATAAAAGCCACACAGCTGCACCTGCAAGGTGAACACAGCTGGGAACAGAACAAGTGTTTGAATGCGTACATTAACAGCTTTATGATATCACTGCCCCGTCTAAGACACCATCTGACTTTAATTACATTTGTCTCGAGTGTTTCCTCAACTTAATGTGTTGCTTAAAATAATCCTTCTGCATCCAGTCTGTGACGCTGTGAGTGTTGCACGGCCTGATACGGCTCAGCTGACTCAGATCAGGAGATATATGATACATTATGAAGTGATATGCCGCGGACTGTACGTAATGTTACTCTGATCCGGTTACTTTTGTTGTGGCAGATATTTAAGTAAGCTTTCTTAACGCTAATGTTATAATAGTCAGATTGCTCTGAAGATGGAGGAGATATTCTATTAATGTTCACGTTCACACAGTCGGTGATTTTTGCCGGCCGTCTTTCCTGCGACGGCAGCTTTTCTGTATTTCCTTTCTCCTGTAATATGACTTGATCGCTTTAAACTCCGCACACTGAGCTCTGATTGGTCAGCAGGCAGTGCTTTCACTGAGTTGAGCTCTTAGCCTGCAACCTAACCTGCTCCCGACCAGGTTAGCCGCTAAGCATCAGTTACCATGGAGATCTAGCCTGCTAAAAAGAGAACCAGCTTCGTAGGACCGGAAAGCCGGAGTTTTCCCTGAAGTTAGCGAAAATCCTGCTTCGTAGTACAGGCCTCTGGTGAAACAGGTTTTGGAAAACACACCTCTCGCTGCTACGCTGGCTAACGTTGTTGTTGTTGTTGTTGTTGTTGTTGTAGTACACAGGAAGTCAGCTGTGCTCTATATGAGGATAAAGACATGGTGAATTGTAAATTGTTTGCAAAGTAGAACATGTGTTTAGAGTTTGAGACTGGAGCTGAGCTTTGTCTCACTGTCCGTTGCAATCATTGAGATGTGTCATCAATTAAAACCCAAAATATGATAGTCTATTTTTACTGCCTTAGTTTCACAACAACTGGGAATGTGACGGCATCAACAGCATGTCGGCGTTCTTTGGAGGATACCAGCGAATGCAACCAAAAGACTAATTATTACAGCGAGCTAAACAGTGATAACCCTTTGAACTATACCTGTGAAAAAGATGTTTAAAATGTGAGCATAAAGGATGTGTTTGTGATTTAAAGAAGTCTATTTTACCGCCTTAGTTTGAGCCGCTGAGCAGCAATGCCATTCAGAATAAATGTTTTAGTGGCAATTTCTTTATCTTACCTTATATGCGAAAACCAAATGCTTCTAAATGCATTGTCTAACACAACTATACAATTTCCTGATATGTGCTGTTTTCTCTGCATACTCTAATGAG